TATAATATATATATATATATATATATATATATATATATATATATAATTATCTTAAATTTATCAAAAAACTAATCACAAAATCCTACATTTCTTATTTCATATTTCCCATATTGACTTAGTTACAATTGAAGTTAAAATCAATTAAACTCAATTACCTGGCCTATTTTAATTTTTTTTTATTTTTAGGATAATTAATTATCGATAGAATAGAATTGTAACAAAAATTATACTAATTTTTTATCTTATGATGAATTTAAAATAAATTTATATAAAATTTAATATATTTTTAATAAGTTATGTGAAAAAGTGTAACTCCATTTTAACCCAATGTAACTTGAATATAAGTGATCCAATAATCAATTTGACCCATGTTACACCAACCTGTGGATTGGTTAGGTTTAAAATAGTCCAATTCAAAAGTATTATATATATATAAAGAGTCTGTTATGGCAGCCGTGAGCTCAATCAACAAGATATTACGATAGGAAACGGGACCCACAGAGCATGACAATGTGGTGCGTTCTTATTGGTCCAGTACAGAGCTAAAACAGGCATGACAGATTCGGTCTGCAAAAGAAAATTTCCAAGTCACAGATTAAAGTAAAAAAAAATAATGTAAAAGATACACCGAAACAGCTACGCCCAGAACTACAAGGCTGCTCCCTATCAGAAAGCCAGAGCTTCCTCCACCCACCTCACCCTCTTGTATCAGCTAACATGGATGCTTAGTCTTCACATCTCTTGTCATAACGTGCCATCTCTTCACTAAATTATAGTCAGTAGCACTGGCAGGAGAACCAATAATTGTCACGCTTGCAACAGTTGACGGCAATTTTGTGAGGGACGGGGAGGAAGTGTAACAGTGGTTGCATGATATGGTGGCACTAAAAACTTGCACCGTCAAAGCTATCTCCCAAACCATCGCTTTAAATCACGCTTCTGGCCTCACTGTCATGACATGGTGGCAACGACGCAACTTCCGGCGCCTGCGGTGGTGACGACGACAGCACAGGATGATTTGTGTTGTCCAGCAAACTGCTGATCGATCGAGCTTTCACCATTCCTGTCTTCTTCCTTTTCGTCCTTGACTTCTCCTCCTCCTCCTCCTCTTCCTTTATGTTGTCCACCCCAGTGTCAAAAGCAATGGCAGGTTGCTTCCTTGGCTTTCTCTCTTCTTCCTCCAGCTTCTGCGGTGAAGTTAGCGGCACAACACTACTATTCCTGATATCGATACTCCATTTGGGCTTGCTGGTACCCAACTGCCCCCTGACACTGCTCATGCTCCTGAGCCTTCCTTTCCCGAGATGGTGCTCGCAAAGGGAGTACCCGACGAGGGTCTGCTGGCAGCACCGCCACCCCCTTCCATTGACGCGGCTGCACCGTGATCCCTCCATCAGCACCGCCGGGCTCCTCCGTCTCTTCCCGTTAACATTTGTCCCATGCCCAGCTCTCACCACTGCTGCCCCACCATCGCACCCTTCCTTATCACTATCCTTAACACTGGTGCAATTATTGTTCGCTGAAGCAGGACCAGAGCTTGCTCTTGCCTTCGCCTTGACCTTTTTCTCTTTCTCCCTCAGCTTGCCTTCAAATCCTCCGTCCCCATTTCCGTTTTCGTCCCCTCCTCTCGTGTTCTTCTGTGGCGATACCGTCTCCCCAAGCTGCGCCGCTTCTGACGCTACTGCACCTGTGCTGACACTCGTCCTAGGGAGGCAAAGAGATGCCAGAATGGAAGAAATTGCATCACACCCCAGATCTCATCCGTGGATTAGTATCGCACCACAGTGCACCCACACTTAACTCTTCACTCTTGTGTAATGAGCTACCACAAGTTTGGGATGAGCTAATTAAACTACCCACAACTAAAAGAGGAGGAGATGTGTGCGTGTGTGGGATGCACTCGTAGATGGGACTGAGGGTGGGCTGTTATTATGGGTCAGGCTGTCATGCATCGTATATATATATATATATATATATATATATATATCAGCAGCAATTAAATACATGGATGCTTTTATTTTTATTTTGTTTGTTTTTATGCCCGCAGGCAATGCTGATGATACAAAGGCAAGAAGGCATTTCCTAAAGGGAGAAAGGGAGCAAGTTTACCTACCTATTGCTGCCATTGGCCTGGGCAAACCACCTCTCGCTGGAATCCACCATCACCTCCTCCTCTTCCTCCACCTCCTTCGGCACCTGCAACGAGTCCCAAATCCTCATCCCCCACAAGGGCGTGCACCAATCACCACATTGCACCCAGAAGCGAAGAGATAGAGCAGCCACGCAACTGAGAAGCCCAAGAATTGAAGCAAAGGTGGAAGTAACCGAGTACCTGCACACTGCCGCTGCTGCTTGGGGCCTTAGCATCTGGATATGGATCTGAATGGAAAGGATCCACAACAGATCTTCCACGGTTTGGATTCTCCCCCAACTCATGGGGGTCTAGCGGCAGATCCGCAACCGGGTGCAACCTTTCTCCCACAGGTCCTCCTGCACTACTATTCGGTGGGTGGTCTTGGAGGGATGGATCTTGGGAGACACGAAGAGGGGCGAGAGAAGGGACGGAGAAGCAGGTGGAGGAGGAGGGTCTTTTACGGATCCTCATGGTGCACGAGATTGGGAGAGAAAGGGAGATGGATGGATGAGGAGTGAGAAGGGGGTGCGAAATTAGAAGCCTTCAGCGACACCGCACTCAAAAGACCAAATAATAAAGAGGAGCTCTTTTTGTTTCCCTTTTTCTCTTTTAATTATTGGATAAACGGAAGGAAGGATGAAAGAAAACAAGAGAAATAAACGAAATTAAAAATCACAATATCGACCATAACAATGATGATAATAACAACAGCTCACAATAAAGAGGAAGTCCGGGGAGGGTGGCCCCCGGCACGTGCGGTCGGGCGGGCGGATCCGCCACCGGCAAAACCGGTTGGCGGCGGTTTACGTTGCCACGGACTAGATTTCCATTTAAATCTAGTCCGGGCGGACCTCGAGACAGGATCCACGAAAACATTGGGCCCCGCTCTATCCGCCAACGGGAGCCTGGGATTCCGATCCTTCGGATCCCGAACGCTTGGCTCTGCTAAGATAGGCGAGCCGCGCATGGGTCTGAGCGCAGACAGCAACAGGAAGTGGAATCCAACCTTCTTCCCCCATCTGACTGCCATGAGCGGTGATGGCGACCCTCGCAACATTAATCTTTGCTTTCGTTGTTGTTGTCGTTGTTATGTGGACACGTCCAAACAATCTCTCATCTTTAAAGGCGACGCCTTTCCCTCTTTCTCTCTCTCTCTCTCAAGATCCTGCTTAGAGATGGAAGGACTAAGATTATTTTCTGTAGCAATGTCATGCGGCATTTGGTGTGACGGTCGGGCCCAAACATTAAAGGCTAATCCTAATTCTATCTTTTCGACCCAAGACCAGGAGTAACAATGGGCCCCGATTATTTGACCCGATTCTTATATTCGATGTTATTATTATTCCAATTTGTGTCGATTCAAATAAGTTTATCTTTTAGCCTTACAGCGTGTGGTCTATGTTTATCGACCGTCTCATTTAATCCTCGTTTATATTTGTACCTATTTTAGTCGTTTTTAATTACAGAATTTGATGTCGGTTCACTGTTTTATCATATTTGGATCTAATATTAAAAATGGATGTTATACTCACCACCTACTATGTTTCGATTATGATTATGATCGTTCGGATTTAGTATCAATTATAATACACGAATTGTAATTTTATAAATTAATGAAATTAAATGGGAAAATTGGATAAGTTGGAGCAAGATTCACACAATTTTAAGATGATGATGATGATGATGATGATGGCTTAAAAGGCTGGAGTAGCAGATGAATGGAGGTTGGCTTGTTCCCACATATAAGCCTATAGTCTCCTATTGTTTCATGAGCAACAGCAGCATGTGAACCCAGCAAATAGATGAGAGAGAGGGACTGTCAATGCAAAGTTCACATGGGGAAGTCACTTGTTTCCGTCCTATCAGCACCACGCCAAGTATAGTTAAGTGGTCCTGTGGGGTCCAACACCACATGCAAAGACATCGAGGCCAACACCATCCTCTGCCATTTCATTTAGTTCTCGACATGCAACAGCGACACTGTACGACAGCAACTCCTCAACCGAGATTCCAACATTGAAGAAAGAGAGAGAGAGAGAGAGAAAGAGAAGTGAGACTATTTGTCATAATAATCGACTCGTTTATCACATCGAAATGTTATCCGAATTGAGTTTAAGATTACATACAATTTCTTTGTACTTGTAAAGAAAGAGAGTGGTTTGGATGGGGTTTCCACGCGCGAGTTAGAATCTCTCAGGCGATGGATTGCGATGCCGCACGCTTTCCTGCCACCTGCACGCAGACACATGTTGCTCCAACTATCTCAGAGGACGACAGCTTCCACGAGTACATTTTGCAGTGGGCATTTCAACAAACATTAAGGCTTCAACAAGTACAGAAATGTTCACAAAAGAAATATAGGATCTACAGATATGTTTCCACGAACATTGGATTCGGCTATACAAGCCGCGGCAAACGTTGCAATAATAAAAGTAGAAACAAGAACGACAACATGAGTAGTTGTGTTACACACCGACTATTCTCCGTTGTCAATGACGGGTGTAATACACTGCAGGGTGCAACATTACTTGTGCGGATCCACCACTTTCGTTTACGGAGGATGAAGTGTGTTTTTGGGGGCACTTATCCAGGGAGTACCAGCAATGGCAAACCTCCACGGTGCCGTGATGTGCTCAGGCAATGCGTACTGGATTCCCACGCGTGGCCCCACCAAGATCTTCTCTGGCGCCGGCCCATCTAACACTTCCAAGCCTCCTGAGGATATGAGAATTGTTAGCCAAAAGAAAGATTAATAAGTACTAATTCTGTTCAACATGTCATACCGCGGGTGTAAAGTGGATGGTTTGACCAAGCAGTTGTAATCCCTAATGCTTGACCAACCTAACGACAAAAACAATTAAGAGAATTCCACCAGAGATTACGATGACAGAAGAAAACATATGCTTATCAAAGTTCTGGAAAAAAAAAAAGTCGGATAGATACTTCAAGAGGAAACTCTTACGGTTTATTTGTTCATACATATAACAACATCTTTGAGGTTGTGACTGAAATAACCAAGCCTTCATGCTTATTTTTGTCACAAAAAAAAAGTTCTTGGATTGCCGAAATTAATAAGACCAAATAACGTATATAGAGATTGCTATTTTGCAACAACATTACATCTAACAAAAAGAAAAAAAACACTTAATCTAGTCTTCCTGTCTGCAACATGTAAAGTATTTAAATCATGTATGCAAGAAACCAAAGAACATATTATGGAGGACAAGCTGACCTTTCCAGGTCCTGTTAGCAGGACAGGCTTCTCAGCCTTCCGCCCTCGACGTTCTTCGATAGTCCCAAGACCTGTAATTAGTCATAAAAATTTCACAATTCTTCCTCTAGCATAGTAAATCTTTTTTTGTTCTTTTCAATAAAATGAAATATTGATAGTGAATCGCAGAGGAAATTCAGCAATGGATCGCCTAGGATATCAACAAAACCATAATTACGAGGCACTGACAGAAAGACTGGATTCTCTCAAACTGAATGCCCAAAACCGGTAGCTAACGAGTCGAGAGTTAGATGCTTAAGAAAAAGAGTACATTTAATAGTCATATATAAAGTTATAAACTTATATAAAGTAAAATGTCCTGAGCTTATCATTTCTTTCTTCTAAGAGAAAAATAATATTACAATGCACTAGAGTGCTTCATGCTTTAAAAGTGGCATATACTTGATAGATACTTGCAACTGATGTGCAGAAGAATTTACAGATAACATTGAGGCTTATGTATTAGATTACCCCACCGAGAAGATCAAAAAGCCTCCTGAAATCAGAGAAAAAGAAACATATAAAGGCGCAAAGGGAAAAAACCTGCAACAAAATTTTGGGAGAAGAACTCACAGGAACAAACTAAATAAGTTCAATATGTCTATGAGACAAGACTAAGTGAGGAAAAAGAAAAAGAATCACAATATGGACTGTGGTAAAAGGACTAATAAGGAGATATCTTCTTAAGGAGTGAGTGAAAATAATTGTCGAATGAACAAAACAAAAAAATGAATATGCCATTAATTTTATTTTCTGAACATCTTCATGTTAAGCCTTCAGTTTAAGCAGAACACTTGGGCAATCAGGGATAACTGGTAAAGGCACTCTGTAATGGTTATTCTGGCAACCAACCAAAGGGTTTCTCATGGAAGATTTATTTCGCCTAATGGTTATAAGTCACAGAAGCATCTAAAATAATCTTTTATGCAAGGAGACAAAACAGAGATATTCATTTACAGAACCATCCGGCTCCTTGAGAACCTACATTCTCAAGTCCATTAATTTCACAAAAACATATGTGCATCTCAGCCTCCTTTTGCCACACAAAAGATATAGATGTGGTCCATTAGTGAGCCGATGTAAGTTTCTTATTATCTTTTCCACAGTAACGAAAATGAGGTGGATGATAGACTAAGCATGTCGGCTCACGACATAATTTCCATATCCAATAAAAATGGTGGCATAATTTCAAAGATAAGCAAAAGACTGCAGCAATGTGGAGCAATAGAATGAGGAACTAATTGTGCTTTTGGTTTTAAATTGCAAAGAGAAGTTAATGTAGCCTTGAGAAAGTTCATCCATATCCACCGGAGCATGTGATGAATCTTGAAAGAAGTGGAACCCTGCCAATTATGCTGAGGTTATACACCAAAAGCGGTTTATCAACCAAACTGCGGTCAATGCTCTGTGCACCGGAGTACATGTTGTTACGCTGAAATGTGATCAGCATCAGTACCATTTCAATTAAGGCCTCAAAGCATACAAATTGAATTATCATTAGTGAGCTCACAAATCTTGACACACAGAGATGTATCGAGAAAATTTTATGATTGTTTTAAATAAGATGATCATGAGACAGAATGCGCTACAAAGAATTACCAAGTATTATATACAATTTTAAGCTACCTTGAGCATGCATAAAGCAAATAAAACAAGATATACCACCAATGGGCGCACAAGAGCGTATCAAGACGGCTGCACCAACTCCCTCTTTATCTGCTACAACATTGAGCATTGTATGGAGTCCATAGCAAAGATACACATATGCATGCCCTCCTGGTCCAAACTATCACAAAAGAACTCAAAACTTTGATCAAAATCTAAACTTGGAATCAAAAAAATATATCTATCTTTTACTAGATTACATGAGTTAAATCTAGCAGATGCGACTCGATTATCCTATCTAAGAATGAAATCACCCTGGTCAAATGGTAAAAACGAAAGAGAGAAGAAAGAAATTAGGGAACAGATCGGAACTTACTACTGGCGCCGTTCGTGAAGTGATGCCGAATCGACCATGGCATGCCGAATCATTCGGTCTATAAGCCTCGACCTGCAACAGTCGAAGCATTCAAAACCTAATTTCACCTACGAGAGAGAGAGAGAGAGAGAGAGAGAGAGAGAGAGAGAGAGACCTCGGTGATCTGGAGAACGACCTCATCGCGTCGAAGGAACTTGCCCAGCAAGCGAGGAGCGAGTTCGAGGGAATCAACCAGGAAAAAATCCTTGGGCAAGATCGCAGCCGGCTCCGAGGGGAGACGAAGTCCGTCCACCGAACATCCCGCCGCCTCCTCCGGCGCGGCGGGCGGAGGCCTCGGGATGCTGTCCCCATTCCTTCGGTTTCTCCGCGCGGTTCTCTTGAACCGGGCCGGAGATCTGCCGACCGTCATCGCCGCCGCAGCTGCCTGCTTTCCTTGTCCCTCCAGTGAGCTTGTAGATTCGTGTTGCGACGACTTTACGCGGGGCGACACGAAGCTGGACGGTTAAGATCATCCGACGCATCCTCTCCCGCGAGTCTCGGTCTCAAAATTAAGTCCTTAATTACCATTGTCTTGGCTTTAATCAAAATTAATCAGTACTAGTATATGCGGAAGCTCTATAAAAAGAATATTTGAAGGATAAATGATGAAAAGGAAAATGCTTACGATCCAATAATAAACTGTGAAAGTCCATTCTTTTCTTCTTATATAATTATCAATAATAATCGGCACCAAAATCAAAGTCAACATTGAGGGTGAAAGGGACTGTCCAATAAATTTTGAGATGAGAGACTTCCAATTCCAAAGTCAAGATCGAGGTCCTTCTTTGAGATTTTATCATCCTCACCTCACATTAACTTCAGATGTAATCAACAAGTCATTGCCTCAGTTTGTCTTGGGGAAGACGTAACGAATAAGTGTTGGCCAATGTAATTCAAGTTTGAACTGAGCTCGAGCTCTCTCGTTGGTCAATTTCAATTTGGTGGCTGCTATTAATGACGATCGATCTTATATACGCTCCAAGGATTTGTCTTTCGTCAAACACTTGGCGGAGGCGGCGGCTACCAAGAAAACCAGGTGGAAGTTTGACACAAAAAACCTGCGTGTGCTGACCTGAAACCTCACTCGAGTCCACGCCGTCGCCGTTTTGCGTGGCAAACAAGAAAAGCTCTCGTTATGCAATATTAATAAAAAAATTAGATTACAACTTATTCTAAACTTGCAATGGTTTGAATACAACATATTTGCTCATGCAAATCTTTATGTACATGTCCCTTGAGACATCATCCTCACTGTTAATGTCTGTCTTTTTGGTTTTTTCAACAGCATATGTTAAACTTAGATTTATAAGGTTAAATACTTTGAAGCGATATATATAAAATAAATTTTAATATATATCCTATATTTTTTATAAAAAAAATAAGACTGCTAATTTTAAAATATCTAAATTGTCCCTTTTTTTATTATAATATTTTAGTCTATAATAATATTTTGACTATAACAACAACAAAAATAAAAAATATATATAATATTAAAATAAGAAATAAACAATGACATCTAGAAAGATATGATATGATGTCACTTATAATTTTTTTCAATAGTATTTATAATGTCTTCAGTACATCAATAAAATATTATAAATATTTTTTATATTTTTTAAATTAAAAATATTATTTGAAAAAAAAGAAAAGAGGATATTCCTTTTGAGAAATACTTAAAATATGATTTTTTTTTTTTTAATAACCTACATATATACATTTTTTTTTTAAATAATATCTAAGGATTTTAGTGGGCACAGTTATCAGATAAGCCCTTCTAGAAGGCCCACGCGGGCCCAACTCTTTGTCATGGCCCACAGCTGGTCAAACCATGACGAGTCAATCCCAAATCCCCTTCCCAAGCCAACTCCATCGCAACACTGAAGAACTTTGGCGGATCCAACAAATTCATGGAACCATCTAGAGTTGTATCTCACTTGTTCCACTTTAAAACCTTCCCACCATTCTTCTCCCATATCATCTCTCTCTTTCTCTCTTGCTTTCCTCGTAACAAGGTAGCTTACTCCTAACCCCAAGGATGATCCCATAACTTCTCTTTCCTCCCTAGCTCAAGGAGTCTCCACACATACCATATACACCCAAAGCCGGTGTTGTCCCTCTCCAATTTATCCGGCAAAATCCTGCAGGGCCTGAGAAAGCATGGGCACTTTGGTGGGTCACGTCGCACCAGGGTTTGGGTTCCTGGTGATTGGGCTGTGGCACCTCTTCAACCACATCAAGCTGCACTCCATGCACCCCAACTCCTACTGTTCCCCTCCATGGTTCCCCACATCTAGGCTCAGGCACCTTGAGCTCTACCTCATCATCTTTGGCAGCCTGGCTTCCATCTCCATGGAGCTGGTCATCGGCCCGGAGAAGCACAACCCCTTCGACGACGACGGCACCATCCCCTCCAACCACCTGCACAACTTCGAGCACGCCTCCATCTCCCTCGCCCTCCTCATCTACGCCTCCTTCGCCATCGTCTTTGACCGCATCAAGCCGAGGCTCCGCGACGAGATGACCATGCTCCTCGCCGCCGCCGCATTCGGGCAGCAGCTGCTCATGTTCCACCTCCACTCCGCCGACCACATGGGCATGGAGGGGCAGTACCACTGGCTGCTGCAGACCGTCATCGTGGTGTCGCTCGCCACCGCCCTCCTCGGCGTCGCCCTGCCGCGGAGCTTCCTGGTGAGCTTCGTCCGGTCGGTGAGCATCGCCTTCCAAGGTGTGTGGTTCGTCGTCATGGGCTTCATGCTGTGGACGCCCAGCCTCATCCCCAAGGGCTGCTTCATGAACCTGGAGGAGGGGCACATGGTCGTCCGCTGCCACACCGACGCGGCGCTCCACCGCGCCAAGTCCCTCGTCAACCTCCAGTTCAGCTGGTACATGGCGGCCATGGCCGTGTTCTCCATGCTGCTCTTCTTGTTCCTGTCCAAGGTCTACCCCGAGGAGCCGCAATACCTGCCTCTTCTCAAGGAGGAGGAAGAAGAGGACTTGGAGTCACAGAAGAAGCTGATGGAGTCTGGGAGCTTCGTTCACATGGGTAAAAGGCTGAGATCCATTGAGCTTGAGAGGTAAAAAGGCAAAAGACCAATGAACTATTGCACCAGTTAATTGTGTGTCCCACCTTGCTAATGGCCTACAAGAACTTCTTGGCTTTTCTTTTCTCGTTTCCTTTTTACTTTCTTTCTTCTTTATCTTTTTTGTATAATCCAGCTCTTATCAAAAGGTGTCTAGTGGGATTATTTGGGGAATTCTTTTGGCTGTCAGTGGTGGGTGGCTCTTCCTGAAGGAGGAGTTACTATTGTGATTTGGATGTGTAAAGAGAGTGGGGGCTAAGATTGGACTCTGTTTGTGTCACCAATAGTACAATTTTATGTGTTTATTCTCATCATCCATCTTTTTTATCTGAAGAGAATTGTCTGTGTGGTTTTCTGCCTTCTTTTGGGTCAAAAGTTTCCTGCCCTATATGAATGCCCGAAAAAGCTTGGCCAGAAGCAGTTCAAGCAGCAATGAAGATGTACTACAAGATTTCAACAAAACAGGGTTCGAATATTTTGACGATTAAATAGAGTTTAGGATATTTCTATCCTAGTAACATTCAGACCGTACAATCAATGATTCAAACAGATCAAGATCCAAATTCCTGATTATTCGATTGGCAAACCGGAAGTTCAATTTGAAATTTGCCATCTAAGAGACGTGTCTGTCTCTCTCACACATCTTTGTCATTTGAGATGGGTTCTTTTGTGCCCCACCTTATCCATCCACATGGACAAAAAATGGGATCTCTTAGAAACTAAAGAGATCGAAGCATTGATGATTTGAGTATAGTGAATTAGTCGTGCATCATTTTCACAGAACCAACGCTGCTTGGAATGATACTTGTGAATCAGATCATGAAAACCCAAAAGATAAGGCTCATTTGACCAATAAAAAAGGGCCAGATCAGATGAAACAAGGACACAGGAGACGATACAATAGAATAATGATTTCTTGGCATTGAAGTGTTCGTGCCTTCAAAGCAACTAAAACCCAAAAATAGTGCATTTGCCATGAAACCATATTGAGCAAACAACGCGTTAGGAAACCTATGGCTGCTCTAACTTTCCACATCATTTCGCGCACCCAACCAGTGGAAATGGCACCCCAAGGCTCAGAAAATTCTACTGACTAGCAAACAAATTACAAACAAGCTGTGGCTGACCTAAGCTTGATTGATATTGTAGCAAAAACTAGTTGCTTAATCACTAAGATCCCAACTCTCAACAACTGTCATCAGAGGTTCGTAAGACCCCTTGCGTGCAATCGTTCTGCAGTACTCATTACCTCGACCATCTACAGTTCACTTATTACTATAGGTTGGGTATGCTTGACATAAAACAGGATGAGTCAGTGGTACTCAACATGAACCGAGTTCCCCATCTACTCGTTGTAGGACTCTGATTGGTATCGGGATAATAAATGATTTAACCCATATGCAGTTTAGTGAAGACTTTGGGGATTCAACGGAGCTATTACCATTTACAAATTAGAAATTTCTATGACAATTGAACAGAACATCATTCCATATTTATCCAAAAAATAGCTTCAGATAACCGCAATTTGCTTCTATACCAACCCAAACTAGTCTGTGGAACTAATACAAGGAAACTTAAAACAACTATGTTGAAGTCAGTCCATTTTTCCTCCAAATAAATAATTCCAAATCATTTTCTAGCCCAATGAAACAGAAACAAAAGGGATGGTGCAATTCAACCATTACAAACAATATTAATCTGGAAGATACCATCATAAAGCGAGTTTGGACACCGCAAAATAGACCTAAGTTGATTAACTCTTTTTTGAAAGGAAAACAAGGAAATTCAACTCAGCAACACCCCCCCAACCCCACCCATGAGGTCATACGGCGGCAATCTCTGGAGCCACTGGTGGTGCTGGCCTAACGTATTCTTCTTCATCCTTTGGTGGATGAATGGTGACGAGATCCGGAAGAGGGGTAGTAGGACCTTGCTTTCCCTTTGGATCCCAATCCAACATAATTTTTACCTTGATTCCAAGAACACCCTAAGCATGTAAACAGACGGTTAATCTCCGAAAAAACATCATGACATCCTGCTAGTTGCATTGGAAACATATCCTTGCTAAAGGCAAGCAAAACACACTGATGATTTGAAAAGGCAAAAGGAACACTAAATCAACAACAAAAAACTAGTGCAGTAAAATATTAGCATGGAGTGAAAACATATCATCGACAAAAGATGAACTTTCAGTATGGAAGCCAACTTGTTCATTCAAAGTTAAATCAGAAATTTTAGACACTAACCTGTCTTAGGAGCACATGCCTCACTGCTGAGTCAATATATTCATTGACCGGCTGACCAGAAGAAATCATGTAACCATCCTTGAATTTCATCGACTTAGCTCGCTGAGCCCTAAGTTTTCCACTTACAATTACCTATGATAAATCATGAAATAAACCTCCAATCTCCACAGAAAAATTAATTCAGGCTTAGTTCCAGAATATACCTCACACCCCTTTGCACCACTCTCCATGACAAACCTCAGGACACCATAACATGCCCTGGAACAAAACACATGCAAATAAGATACCCTTGAATAGATAACTCCAACAAACAACAGGATATGCCAACATGTTTGGAAATAAACATCAGTCTGATAAAAAAAAATTGAAAGCAAAGCCATCAACCAGCAGCCTAAAATAAAAAATAAGAACAAAATGTTGGAGAATATTCCAAACCCCAAGCATACAAGATACAAGAAGCCTGACAAACTCCATAACTCAGATGTATGAGCATAAAAAAACAAATCATCAGAAAATCATATATAGCCCAGCCACAGAATAAAAAACCACAAATGCTCAAATTGTTAGTAAGATAGTAAAATGCAAAAAATGTACAACCAAAAAAGTAGAGAAAACAGGCAACACTCGTATTCAGAAACTTAAAACAAAGACAAAAACACAAAGTCATGCAGACATACATATACACATTTCATTAGCTCAGCTCTAAATTAGGAGCTATCTTACATAACTCCAATACTAATTTTGAAAGAATAAGCCAACTCAATAGAGCCACATATTCCAGATGTTAGTCAACACCAGCCTAACCCAAGTGACATTGCAAACCGATGAAAATAACATTTTTAATCAGAAACTATCATACAAATCCTTGCACGAAAATTATCAAATTTGCAAACATGTTGCCAGGAGAATTGACATGAGATCAAGAGATACCATGAACCCAATTGCATCCATGGCAATCTTAATATTGTCATCTTCCGACACAAAGTTGGTACTGAGCAACCTATTTGCTTTATAGATGACAATAATCACACACAGTAACTAAAAACTGACAACCAGGTGACTGTGTGGCCAAGACATCAGCCCGTACAAGATTCAAGGAAGGCCAATATATGCAAGCCTTACACAAGACTCAGGTCATAGTCACCCAGATTCTGAATGAGAAAAATTATCAGGTTGTCAAGATATCTAATGATGCCAAAAAAACATTAGCTTCTGATGGCCACTGAAAAATTGTATAAAAATAGCTGATGAGCCACACTACATACAAGATATGGCACACGAGTAACCTAAACAACCAAAGAAACAAACAGGCATAAAATAAGTTTAACACAGAACAGTAAAGCCAAAATTTATCGATTCCCTACAGTACTTCTCCTCTCACATATGCAAAAACCTACATCTATATGCCCTCACAGAACAAAAAGTCATACTTTTCACTACTCAATAAGATGTGATTACAATAATGAATAAATGTGTTGCCAGGGGGTTTTTATGTCATGAAAATAAGAAGCATCATGACCCTAAATGCATCCATGGCTACCCTGATATTGTCACCTTCCGACACAAAGTTTGGTACTGAGTAACCTATTTGCTTTATAGATGACAGACATCACAACTTACATGCCCAAAATAACTTTCTTCTGATGTACCAACCTACATCACCACGTCCTAGTCTAATAATGAGATATTCTTCAATCCGACACAAGTGAAAAACAACTCGCGTTATCAATTTCAGCTACTAGTAGATAACACAAAGTCAACCGTCGGTCTTGAGAAAAATCATAAGCGTGAAGTGACTTATAATAACCATATGGAAACAAACATCTTGCGAGAGAAATACGAGCATAACTACAGAGTTAGAATCAAAACAGTCAACACCAAACTTAAAAAAGGGTGAATATATCCCAACCTCCTAACAGCAAGGCCGCCAAGAAGCTTGTAACGGAGAGATTCAGCCTGAGCAATGGCACAGAGACCCCTATTGTTCACCTTCTCGGCGTACAGCTCAACGCCATTCTCCGGAAAGTTGAATCTTTTCTGCACCACTGATGTCAGTTCCCTAATTCTCCTTCCCTTCTCGCCTAAACCATCAGATAAAAGCATCAAAACACCGAACAACACCCCTTTATAACCCAAAAAAAGGGAACTAAAACATCGAAACAAGTGTCAAATCACCAAGAACGTTCTGGGTGCGCGTCGCCCGTATAATGATCTCAGTACGCATGGGCGTGACCCTAACTTCCACACCCGAATAGCCATCCTCCGCAAGCTCCCTCGTCAGGACCTCGTTCAGCTCCGCGAAGAACACCCCATCCGCCACAAACTGCGAGAAGGGATAGAAATCAACGAAATTCAGCGAACTGCGAACTCAAGAAAGAAGAAATATTGAGGGAAAGAGGATATTTGGAAGGGAAGAGAGAAGACCTTTCGCTTCTTACTCATCTGGGTCGCCATTTGCGCAGGGATTCAAGAGAAGCGAATTCGCCGCTGCTATGAGTTCGGGTCTGTGGTCTTAGCTGACAAAGAAACCCTAGAAGAGACGAGGGACAGCCGCAAGACGATTCTTAAATAGCGGTTTGGGGGGGACGATCGGACGGTCCGAAGAGGTTGATGATAAATAGAAGGTTTCGATGGATGTAGCCCAGAGAACTGTTCGGTTCGAATCGAAATCGGGTCTGAACCGCACCAAACCGGTCCGAGAGTTCGTCGATTTCAAATCGAATTAGAATCGAATGATTTGATTAAAATTCTTTATTTTTTAAGAATCGAAACCGATGATTCCTCACTCAATGATTTTGGTTCTGATTCGAACCAACGGTTCATAATTTTTAACAAAATTATGATTTTTATTTGAAAACTATTTTTAATTAAAAAATTAACTATTCGAAATCAAAATAGTTCAAAATCAACCCTATATTAATTGGTTTTGATTTCTAAAATTTAGAAATCAAAATAGTTGTTTCTCGAACCGAATAGATTATTATAGTTTTCACATGATTTTTAATCTCGATTAATTACAATACAAGCTTATGATATATTCTATTTACGTGATAAGAGATCATTTGGTCGATCGATCATTGGTGCAGCTCCGGCGATGGGTATATCCATACATATCCATACGGTTTTATTCTTTCGAAGCATATAAACTTTAAAAAGAATTTCTAAGAGTAAGGGAGACTTGACGGACTTATGAACCCTTAGTTCTCATGCTCCTCAATCAACGTCGGATTAAATAGTCTTATCAATCAGATTTAATCATTTTACAATGAAATTAAGGAAGAAAAACTATTTTACTCCAAATTGTCAAACTCACCATCTGGTTTTTGACATTTTTGTCTTTTACATCATACACACTTGATTCATTTCTAAAAAATATTTATAATCTTTTAGATCAATTCTAGCATGAATCTTCTGTAGGAGAACCTCTCTCTTTCTCTTATAGTCTTTTAGATCAGTTTTAGCACGAATCTTCTGTAGGAGAATCTCTCTCTCTCTCTCTCTCTCTTATAATCTCTTAGATCAATGCTAACACGAATCTTCTGTAGGAGAAACTCTCTCTCTCTCTCTCTTATAATCTCTTAGATCAGTTCTAGCACGAATCTTCTGTAGGAGAACCTCTCTCTCTCTCTCTTATAATCTTTTAGATCAGTTCTAACACGAATCTTCTGTAGGAGAACCTCTCTCTCTCTCTCTCTCTCTTTCTGTGTTTGTTTGCCTTCGTGTTTAAGCCCCTCGATCTAATGATCATTGTTAAGGCAAGCATTGTATCTGTGTTCGTTGCGTCACAATCACCTCTCGATTCCAGGAACACAACACCACGTACATCAAAAGATCCTAATGTCGAGGGGGCAAAGACAGCACCGAGAAACATCTGACATTTTTCTCGATTAACCAAAGTAGGTGGTTCAGCAATCCAAGTTTTGCCCAACTGAGGTCCCATTTTGAGGGTGAAATGTATCATAATATGCTGTCATTTGGTGTTCCCCCCACTACACATCCAGTCTGCAATCAAAGGACCAGACGTATAAGATCTGTATGTTTCTTATTCTACATGCAAACTAATTGTTTAGAGGATAATTCACATATGACTACTTCGCTGTTTGTCATGTACAAGAAAACTTGCAGTATGTTTGCATTCAACTTTCATGCCACAAACACACTCCATACCAAATTTCATAGCCAATGCATTAACATGACAATATAGTTTAATGAAGCATTTTCACGTAATAGCCATAGAACTACAAAAAATTTCCATTATTTTCCCTCAGTACTACTGTTTTAAGTTCCATAAAAATAAAATAGGTAGATTTGAATTTTGCAAAGGATTTAAGGTTGCTCATTGCACATCTACTATGCATACACCAAATTAAAGTTCATCTAGCTAAAAAAGAAGAACTAGGTTGATGCTTTTCAAACACTTTAATACCATAAAAAAGAGCTATTTTCTTATAAAATATATATTTTAGGTATTTCTCAAAAGGAACCCCTCTATTCCTTTTTCTCAAACAATACATTTGAATTAAAAAAAAACTCAAAATATCTTTAAAAGTTTTTCCACCAAAATTTCTCGCTCTTTTTTTCGCCCGTTTTTAACTATTATAACGGTTTCATTTGATTTGTTTATAATAATTTTTAATACAATTTATAGTGTTTTATTGATACATCATAAATATCATAAAAATTATTAAAAAAATATTGTAAGTGGCATCATATCTTTCCTCTTCAATTATTATTCTTTTAGACCATTGGAATATCATATTTTTAGGTCTATAGTTAATTTGATTGAGGTTAGGAGTGTATTCATATCATTTATAAGATTTTTAAGTAAACTTTATAATGTTTATATTATGATGGTTAAAACACTGCAGTAATTCAAAAACAGTATGATGAAATTTTTTTTAGATATTTCCAAAATTAAAAGTATTATTTTAAAAAAAAAGTAAAATGGGAGTATTGATTGAAAGATACTTTAAATTGGGGTATTTTATAGGAAAATAGTCCTAAAAATATCATATCATACAAAATAGTAATATCAAAGTGGATCAAGGAAATTCTACATAAATAATTTTCTCATGCAGATTGTGAAAGTAAAAGCAAGACAAATATATATATATATATATATATATATATATATATATATATATATAGTCTCCTCCTTTGCTCATTCCCTCTAGAGTCATATAAACAACCATCAAAGGTAAAACCTGCATCCCGAGAAGACCATATCCCACCAGAAACATAGCCATATCCAAATTGCTCAGTTTAAACCTTACTAAATTGTTCATTCTGACAAAAAAGTATGCAGCGGAGGTATCTAATCAATTCAAAACTCGATAAAATCGACACCCAAAAGGTGAGATTTTTTTCTTTCAGGAGAAAAAGAGCAAAAGCAAAAGCGAATGAAACAGTGAGGACTGAGAGGCACTCACTTTGTAGCTTCTTTTCCATATATCTGAAGAAAAATAAGGCGTTGGAAGGGAACACAAATCAAGAAAGAAAGCATGAGAAGAAAGAAGATGATAAAGA